GATTGAATTAATAGGTAAAACAACTCCAGAATTGTAAGTTCTGATTAAATTCAAGAAAGTCACCTTTAAAAATTTCTATAACTTTTTCAAATCATCTTGGATTTCGAAAGAACTCTACAGCTATCTCAATTATATATTGATCTTACAAAATTCCAGGTTATTTGGTTGTTTGATTCATTGCTGTCAAATTTATGGATTTAAATTTAATTAATGGGTAAAAAAAAAGCGAGAATTTTCAGTTGAGACTAAATTCAGATAGTCACCTTTAAAAATTTCTATAACTTTTTCAAATCAGCTTGGATTTTTATAAAAACTCTACAGCTATCTTAATTATATCTTGATCTTACAAAATGCCAGGTTATTTGGTAGTTTGGTTTATTGCTGTCAAATTTAAGAATTAAATTAATAGGTAAAAAAAAAAAGCGAGAATTTTCAGTTCCGACTAAATTCAAGAAAGTCACCTTTAAAAATTTCTATAACTTTTTCAAATGATCTTGGATTTCAACAAAACTCTACAGCTATCTCAATTATATATTGATATTACATAACTCCAGGTTATTTGGTAGTTTTATTCATTGCTGTTAAATTTAAGGATTTAATTAATAGGTAAAAAAAGCAAGAATTTTCAGTTGAGACTAAATTCAGATAGTCACCTTTAAAAATTTCTATAACTTTTTCAAATCGGGTTGGATTTTCATAAAATTCTACAGCTATTTCAATCATATATTGATCTTACAAAACACCAGGTTATTTGGTAGTTTGATTTATTGCTATCAAATTTAAGGATTAATATAATAGGTTAAATAAAACTAGAATTTTCAGTTCTGACTAAATTCAAGAAAGTCACCTTTAAAAATATCTATAACTTTTTCAAATCATCTTTGATTTCGATAGAACTCTACAGCTATCTCAATTATATATTGACCTTACATAACTCCAGGTTATTTGGTAGTTTGGTTCATTGCTGTCAAATTTAAGGATCTAATTAATAGGTACAAAAAAGCAAGAATTTTCAGTTGAGACTAAATTCAGATGGTCACCTTTAAAAATGTCAATAACTTTTTCAAATCAGCTTGGATTTTCATAAAACTCTACAGCTATCTCAATCATATATTGATCTTACAAAACACCAAGTTTTTTAGTAGTTTGGTTTATTGCTGTCAAATTTAAGGATTGAATTAATAGGTAAAACAACTCCAGAATTGTAAGTTCTGATTAAATTCAAGAAAGTCACCTTTAAAAATTTCTATAACTTTTTCAAATCATCTTGGATTTCGAAGGAACTCTACAGCTATCTCAATTATATATTGATCTTACAAAATTCCTGGTTATTTGGTTGTTTGATTCATTGCTGTCAAATTTATGGATTTAAATTTAATTAATGGGTAAAAAAAAAGCGAGAATTTTCAGTTGAGACTAAATTCAGATAGTCACCTTTAAAAAATTTCTATAACTTTTTCAAATCAGCTTGGATTTTTATAAAAACTCTACAGCTATCTTTATTATATCTTGATCTTACAAAATGCCAGGTTATTTGGTAGTTTGGTTTATTGCTGTCAAATTTAAGAATTAAATTAAAAGGTAAAAAAAAAAGCGAGAATTTTCAGTTCCGACTAAATTCAAGAAAGTCACCTTTAAAATTTGTATAACTTTTTCAAATGATCTTGGATTTCAAAAAAACTCTACAGCTATCTCAATTATATATTGATATTACATAACTCCAGGTTATTTGGTAGTTTTATTCATTGCTGTTAAATTTAAGGATTTAATTAATAGGTAAAAAAAGCAAGAATTTTCAGTTGAGACTAAATTCAGATAGACACCTTTAAAAATTTCTATAACTTTTTCAAATCAGCTTGGATTTTCATAAAACTCTACAGCTATCTCAATTATATATTGATCTTACAAAACACCACGTTTTTTAGTAGTTTGGTTTATTGCTGTCAAATTTAAGGATTGAATTAATAGGTAAAACAACTCCAGAATTGTAAGTTCTGATTAAATTCAAGAAAGTCACCTTTAAAAATTTCTATAACTTTTTCAAATCATCTTGGATTTCGAAAGAACTCTACAGCTATCTCAATTATATATTGATCTTACAAAATTCCAGCTTATTTGGTTGTTTGATTCATTGCTGTCAAATTTATGGATTTAAATTTAATTAATGGGTAAAAAAAAAGCGAGAATTTTCAGTTGAGACTAAATTCAGATAGTCACCTTTAAAAATTTCTATAACTTTTTCAAATCAGCTTGGATTTTTATAAAAACTCTACAGCTATCTTAATTATATCTTGATCTTACAAAATGCCAGGTTATTTGGTAGTTTGGTTTATTGCTGTCAAATTTAAGAATTAAATTAATAGGTAAAAAAAAAAAGCGAGAATTTTCAGTTCCGACTAAATTCAAGAAAGTCACCTTTAAAAATTTCTATAACTTTTTCAAATGATCTTGGATTTCAACAAAACTCTACAGCTATCTCAATTATATATTGATATTACATAACTCCAGGTTATTTGGTAGTTTTATTCATTGCTGTTAAATTTAAGGATTTAATTAATAGGTAAAAAAAGCAAGAATTTTCAGTTGAGACTAAATTCAGATAGTCACCTTTAAAAATTTCTATAACTTTTTCAAATCGGGTTGGATTTTCATAAAATTCTACAGCTATTTCAATCATATATTGATCTTACAAAACACCAGGTTATTTGGTAGTTTGATTTATTGCTATCAAATTTAAGGATTAATATAATAGGTTAAATAAAACTAGAATTTTCAGTTCTGACTAAATTCAAGAAAGTCACCTTTAAAAATATCTATAACTTTTTCAAATCATCTTGGATTTCGATAGAACTCTACAGCTATCTCAATTATATATTGACCTTACATAACTCCAGGTTATTTGGTAGTTTGGTTCATTGCTGTCAAATTTAAGGATCTAATTAATAGGTACAAAAAAGCAAGAATTTTCAGTTGAGACTAAATTCAGATGGTCACCTTTAAAAATGTCAATAACTTTTTCAAATCAGCTTGGATTTTCATAAAACTCTACAGCTATCTCAATCATATATTGATCTTACAAAACACCAAGTTTTTTAGTAGTTTGGTTTATTGCTGTCAAATTTAAGGATTGAATTAATAGGTAAAACAACTCCAGAATTGTAAGTTCTGATTAAATTCAAGAAAGTCACCTTTAAAAATTTCTATAACTTTTTCAAATCATCTTGGATTTCGAAGGAACTCTACAGCTATCTCAATTATATATTGATCTTACAAAATTCCAGGTTATTTGGTTGTTTGATTCATTGCTGTCAAATTTATGGATTTAAATTTAATTAATGGGTAAAAAAAAAGCGAGAATTTTCAGTTGAGACTAAATTCAGATAGTCACCTTTAAAAAATTTCTATAACTTTTTCAAATCAGCTTGGATTTTTATAAAAACTCTACAGCTATCTTAATTATATCTTGATCTTACAAAATGCCAGGTTATTTGGTAGTTTGGTTTATTGCTGTCAAATTTAAGAATTAAATTAAAAGGTAAAAAAAAAAGCGAGAATTTTCAGTTCCGACTAAATTCAAGAAAGTCACCTTTAAAATTTGTATAACTTTTTCAAATGATCTTGGATTTCAAAAAAACTCTACAGCTATCTCAATTATATATTGATATTACATAACTCCAGGTTATTTGGTAGTTTTATTCATTGCTGTTAAATTTAAGGATTTAATTAATAGGTAAAAAAAGCAAGAATTTTCAGTTGAGACTAAATTCAGATAGACACCTTTAAAAATTTCTATAACTTTTTCAAATCAGCTTGGATTTTCATAAAATTCTACAGCTATTTCAATCATATATTGATCTTACAAATCACCTTGTTATTTGGTAGTTTGGTTTATTGCTGTCAAATTTAGGGATTAAATTAAAAGGTTAAATAAAACTAGAATTTTCAGTTCTGACTAAATTCAAGAAAGTCACCTTTAAAAATTTCTATAACTTTTTCAAATCATCTTGGATTTCCATAAAACTTTACAGCTATCTCAATTATATATTGATCTTACAAAATTCCAGGTTATTTGGTAGTTTGGTTTATTGCTGTCAAATTTATGGAATAAATTAATAGGTAAAAAAAGCTAGAATTTTCAGTTCTAATTAAATTCAAGAAAGTCACCTTTAAAAATTTTTATAACTTTTTCAAACCATCTTGGATTTAGATAAAACTCTACAGCTATCTCAATTATATATTGATCTTACAAAATTCTAGGTAATTTGGTAGTTTGGTTCATTGCTGTCAAATTTAAGGATTTAATTAATAGGTAAAAAACTAGAGGCTCTAAAGAGCTTGTGTCGCTCACCTTGGTATATGTGCATATTAAACAAAGGACAAAGATGGATTCATGACAAAATTGTGTTTTGGTGATGGTGATGTGTTTGTAGATCTTACTTTACTGAACATTCTTGCTGCTTACAATTATCTCTATCTATAATGAACTTGGCCCAGTAGTTATAGTGGAAAATATTTTGTAAAAATTTACAAAAATTTACAAAATTTATGAAAAAATTGTAAAAAATTGACTATAAAGGGCAATAACTCCTTAAGGGGTCAATTGACAATTTTGGTCATGTTGACTTATTTGTAGATCTTACTTTGCTGTACATTATTGCTGTTTACAGTTTATCTCTATCTATGATAATATTCAAGATAATAACCAAAAGCTGCAAAATTTTCTTAAAATTACCAATTCAGGGGCAGCAACCCAACAACGTGTTGCCTGATTGGTCTGAAAATTTCAGGGCAGATAGATCTTGACCTGATAATCAGTTTAACCCTTGTCAGATTTACTCTAAATGCTTTGGTTTCAGAGATATAAGCCAAAATCTACATTTTACCCCTATGTTCTATTTTTAGCCATGTCGGCCATCTTGGTTCGCGGGCGGGGTCATCGGACACATTTTTTAAACTATATACCCTAATGATGATTGTGTAAAAGTTTGGTTAAATTTGTCTTAGTAGTTTCAGAGGAGAAGATTTTTGTAAAAGATTACAAAAATTTACGAAAAATGGTTAAAAATTGACTATAAAGGGCAATAACTCCTTAAGGGGTCAACTGACCATTTTGGTGAAGTTGACTTAATTGTAGATCTTATTTTGCTGAACATTATTGCTGTTTACAGTTTATCGCTATATATAATAATATTCAAGATAATAACCAAAAACGACAAAATTTCATTAAAATTACCAATTCAGGGGCAGCAACCAAACAACGATTTGCCTGATTGGTCTGAAAATTTCAGGGCAGATAGATCTTGACCTGATAAACAATTTTACCACATGTCAGATTTGCTCTAAATGCTTTGGTTTCAGAGATATGAGCCAAAAACTGCATTTTACCCTATGTACTATTTTTTAGCCATGTCGGCCATCTTAGTTCGTGGGCGGGGTCATCGGACACATTTTTTAAACTATATACCCTAATGATGATTGTGGACAAGTTTGGTTAAATTTGTCTTAGTAGTTTCAGAGGAGAAGATTTTTGTAAAAGATTACAAAAATTTACGAAAAATGGTTAAAAATTGATTATAAAGGGCAATAACTCCTTAAGGGGTCAACTGACCATTTTGGTCAAGTTGATTTAATTGTAGATCTTACTCTGCTGAACATTATTGCTGTTTACAGTTTATCTCTATCTATAATAATATTCAAGATAATAACCAAAAACGGCAAAATTTCCTTAAAATTACCAATTCAGGGGTAGCAACCCAACAACGGGTTGTCAGATTCATCTGAAAATTTCAGGGCAGATAGATTTTGACCTGATAAACAATTTTACCCCATGTCAGATTTGCTCTAAATGCTTTGGTTTCAGAGATATAAGCCAAAATCTACATTTTACCCCTATGTTCTATTTTTAGCCATGGCGGCCATCTTGGTTGGTTGACCGGATCACCGGACACATTTTTTAAACTAGATACCCCAATGATGATTGTGACCAAGTTTGGTTAAATTTGACCCAGTAGTTTCAGAGGAGAAGATTTTTGTAAAAGTTTACGGACGACGGACGACGGACGACGGACGACGGACGCAGGACGACGGACGACGGACGCAAAGTGATGAGAAAAGCTCACTTGACCTTTCAGGTCAGGTGAGCTAAAAAGCGAGAATTTTCAGTTGAGACTAAATTCAGATGGTCACCTTTAAAAATTTCTGTAACTATTTCAAATCCGCTTGGATTTTCATCAAACTTTACAACTATCTCAATCATATATTGATCTTACAAAACATCAGGTTATTTTGGTAGTTTACTTTATTGCTGTTGAATTTAAGGATTAAATTAATAGGTAAAACAAAGCTAGAATTTTCAGTTCTGACTAAATTCAAGAAAGTCACCTTCAAAAATTTCTATAACTTTTTCAAATCATCTTGGAATTCGATAGAACTCTACAGCTATCTCAATTATATATTGATCTTACAAAATTCCAGGTTATTTGGTAGTTTGATTCATTGCTGTCAATATTATGGATTTAAATTTATTTAATAGGTAAAAAAAAAAAGCGAGAACTTTCAATTGAGACTAAATTCAAATAGTCACCTTTAAAAATTTCTACAACTTTTTCAAATCAGCTTGGATTTTCTTAAAAACTCTACAGCTATCTCAATCATATATTTATCTTACAAAACACCAGGTTATTTGGTAGTTTGGTTTATTGCTGTCAAATTTAAGGATTAAATTAATAGGTAAAAAAACCTAGAATTTTCAGTTCTGATTAAATTCAAGAAAGTCACCTTTAAAAATTTCTATAACTTTTTCAAACCACCTTGGATTTTGATAAAACTCTACAGCTATCTCAATTATATACTGATCTTACAGAATGCCAGGTTATTTTGTAGTTTGGTTTATTGCTGTCAAATTTAAGGATTTAATTAGTTAGTTAAAAAAGCTAGAATTTTCAGTTCAGCCTAAATTCAGATACTTAGTAGTCACCTTTAAAAATTTCTTTAACATTTTAAAATCAACCTGGATTTATATAAAACTCTACAGCTATCTCAATTATATAATTGATCTTACGAAATGCCAGGTAATTTAGTAGTTTGGTCTATTGTTGTCAAATTTAAGGATTTAATTAATACGGGGAAAAAAGCTAGAATTTTCAGTTCGGACTGAATTAATCCTTAAATTTGACAGTAATAAACCAAGATACTAAACTGACTATTTGAATTTAGTCAAAACTGAAAATTCTAGCCTTTTTTACCTATTAATTGAAACTCTAAATTTGACAGCAATAATCCAAACTACCAACTAACCTGGAATTTTGTAAGATCAATATATAGTTGAGATAGATGTGCTGATTCAGACTAGTCGGGACAGGTCGAGACTGGTCGAGACTGAGTCGACACTGAGTTGAGACTGGTTGAGATTGGTTGAGACTGAGTCGAGACTGGTCGAGCATTTGTCGAGACCATATTCAGACTATAACAAGATCATCAAATACTCAATCAGACTTATTAAGTAAAGTCTAGACCAAAGTCGAGTACAGTTAAGTACAGTTAAGTACTGTCGAGATTATGTCGAGTCTTGTCATGTAAAATATGTGTTGGTCGAGCACATAATTTGGTCTTTTCAGACTCTGAGCAGTTTGTAGTGCATACAAAAATCTTTGGAGCACCTGAGTTCATCACCGGTTTTTATTGGAGTTCGTGTTGCTCAATCTTTAGTTTTTTATTTACATGTTGCGTTTTATAAACCTGCTGTTTTATCGTCGTTTTTCGTATTTTTCCGACTGATGAGTTTTGCTACTTTTTTTTTTAAGCTTCCAAACTTAAATAGACTTTCCGTTTACTGGTCATACAAGTCATTTTTATAGTTTTACACAAAAAGAAATATCATAGTCAAATAACGTTTTATAACAACTTTAAATGTATATTCAACACGCAGTTGTATGCAAATATTCTATGTTACGTTTCACAACGTATTATTATACCCAAGCTAATACTCAAATGACATCCGTTTTATTATTTAAGATCAAGTGTGGTATGTTTTTTAATACATTTAAATTTTTCACAAAGAATGTCTGTCTATTTATCTTTAATTTTATGTTGATAGCGACGCGAAACGACATTTGAATGAGGTTGGCAACCGCCCAGATAAAATTTCCGTTCTCTTATCGTATTTCACAAGTATAATGATATGATTCATTGTCAAGTGACTTAGCTAGTTAAAGTCTGTTTCAAATTAATGTACATTTTTCTACTTCAGAACTGTAACTGCGATTTATATATACACATAACCGGAAGAAATATATGAGAATGTATTTTAATATACAAATGTATCAGAGGCAAAGGATAGTGTTAAATTGTGTATTTTTACCGGATGAGGAGAATACATTTCTTTCGAATGTAAACAATAAAACTTTACAAAAAGCTGAGGTGACGGCAGCATGATACAACCACAGTGAGTTGTTACGGGATCAATGGACAATTGTATATTGAGCTACAACTATGAACTTGGTTATGACAGTACAACAGAAATGTATTGACCTTTTTAATAGGCAAAACTTGGTCGTTTTATTCTACATATCATTATAACCTTAGTCCTTATTTACTGAAAATTGTGCATCTATAATGCTTTATATTCCTTAAAGCTCTCATTAAGAGGAACTCTAAACAAATAGAATAAATGATAAGAATAAAAACAATTGAACCTTTATACACAGGAAATTATTTATGCACGTTTCTCTTACTTTTATATAATCCACGTATATAGAACATGTGTCAAATAATAGGTCAGCACGTTGTTTATTCTATTTTCTCTAATTCTTCGTCAGTTTATCCCTTTCTGCACCCATTGTAAAAAAAAAATTTAATCAACGTGTGGTTCGTTTGATCTCAGTTTTTCATTGGTTAACATCCGATTATGACGTCGAATTTTCTTGCTTTCTTCTGAATTTCCTATTGTGACGGCATGAAAAAAGGCGACCATGCCTGATGACGTCACATAGAAAGAGCACATCTTTTTGCAGATCATTCGAAAAGTAGGAATAAATTTGCCTGCGTATTGTTTGAAAATCATTAGAGAAACAGATTCCACCACCAAATCTCGTGTAATACGATATTTATCCACTCTCGACAGTTAAATTTTAAATATTTAAAACGCTCGGCGAGCCTCGCGTTTTAAATTTGAAAATTTAACTGTCTCGAGTGGATAAATATCGTATCACACTCGATACAGTGGTAGAATCTATATATAAACTTTTTCATTTGCTTTATTGATATTTTTAATAATAATGTATAGAGTTCTATAAAATTAACCGTGACACAGTCATGAACAACATTTTAACCATTTATGGCATTTATTTCATTTAAGGATTTATTTATATATATAAAACATTGTATTAAGTAATTATTTATAATCTTACTTATAAAATTACCAAACAGATTTATTTCATTCTTTATAAAGATATAATCAAACATTTAAATCTTTTATTAGCAATTGAAATTCTTTTTTGATTAAGAATATATACCTTATAATAAATTGAAAGGAATTATAAATATAACGAGATGTGGTGTGATTGGAAAAGAGACAATTATCAATCAAAAGACCAATTCAAAGGCCAGGGTAATGATGTTCACACCAACCGGCATTCAACAAAAAACAAAACAAAACCCGAAAGGTGAATAATAAAAGGCTCCTTAAAAAATGTGAAAAAATACAACAAGCGAAAACCAAGTAAAACAGACATCATATGGGGGCCTTTTATAGCTTGCTATGCGGTATTGGTTTTGTTCATTGTTGAAGTCCGTACGGTGACCTACAGTTGCTAACTCTCTACGTCATTCGGTCCCTGGTGTAAAGTTGTCTCATTGACAACCATATCACATCTACTTATTTTTATATCAACCAACGATAATTACTGCATTGGAGGCTCCTGGCTCGAGACAAGTGTCTAAAGAATTTTGCGGTTTTAAACATGTTTATGAGCGCTCAACCTGCCCCAATCCAGTGACAATGGTGTAACAACACAGCATCAGAACAACATGTAAAAATTTATTAAAAACGACTTGACTCATTAAATGGGAACTTAAAACAAAGAAAAATAACAAAAACACAAAAAAACACACATTATCGATCAATAGCTAGTTCGAAGCCAAATTTCCACTAATAAATAAACCTTATCAAATTAGGAGATGATGTTTGATTGCAAATTAGAATACTTCACACCAGAAACCGAATGACGTAGAAGTGAGCAACCATAGGTGCCTGTATGGCCTTCAACAATGAGAAAAACCCATACCATTTAGAAAGTAGAAATGACAAACGTAAAACAATTCAAGCGAGAAAACTAACGACCTGGTTTATGTACAAAACAATGAAAAAAAATGTGATTTACAGCAAAAAAGGAAAACCACTGCATTAGTGGCTCCTGACTTGGGACATGCACGTCCAGAATGTTGCGGGTTAAACGCCCAACATCTCATTTCTATTCTGGTACAGTGTTCAAAAATAAAAGTTCTTTTCGCAATAATTGAACAACAAAGGTGTACGCATAACCTTTATAAATACTTCTTTTAAACCAAAAGAACTGCAAATTCTTTAACTTGTTAGTTTATAAACATTTTCTCTGTGTACAAAACTTAAAAGCAAATATCAAGTTGATCTAATACCTGCAGGTGAAATCACCTTCGACAATAAAGCTCTATAGTTGTGATATAATTTTAGAAGTCAAACAAAACATTCATTATATCGATTACCATGTTGTGAAGGTTGTTTAGAAATAAAAGTTCGACGTTGAATGACATATTTGACGTCACTGCAAAACGCTCATATCGATCCAACTGAGAAACATAAACTCCATAATGAGGATCCAGCGGAACGTCCTAAAAAAAAACGGGAACTAGCTTCTAGTAAACAAAAATGAAATGACTTCACGTTTGTCAGAATATTTGGTAAACAAACTGTCATAATCAACTCAAATATCGAGGTCTGAAAGAGCTGGGATCACATTAAATGTTTTAGTAACAGCATTTAGAAACTTTTAAACTTGTATATTTAAAAACATTTGGATTTTTCACAGCGAATATGACGTCTAAATATTTGCAAGTATTATTGAAAATAAAAATCAATATGTTTTAGTTTGGGACTTTAGGAAGCTTAGTTGTGATTCA